CCCTCTGCCTGACGCAGCCCCGCTCCCACCCGCTCCGCTCCTTCACATCACACACAGTCCGCTGCCACTCTCCATTCTTACGGGGCCCCGCAGCTCCTCCGGTTCCTTACTTTTCCCCTTTTACAGTTGGCTTTCCCCGGGAATTAGCAAACAGAACACCTATGTCCTCCAGCTCTTGCACACAGGCAGCGTGCCTGGTGCCAGGAAACCCACCCTTTGTTTTGCTTCTCCTACATTTGTAAATTTTAGCCATCTGTTTGCTGGTTTCTTCCCTTCATGACCAACAATCGGTTCCCAGTTTACCAACAGACAGTCCCTCTTTCCCAAGCGCTGCTTTCCCTGCTCTGCCCCGGCGGCAAACCCCACCACCGACCGCTGCGGTAACTCCGTCCTCGCTGCCCATCTCCCACACCAGAGTGGAGGATTTGCATTAACTAAGTGATCAACTCACCCAGCCGCTTGTGACCCCCTCCTTGCACAGAACTTTCTCAGCCGTCTCCACTTTGTAATCATGACGATGGCACAGATGAGGACGAGGAGGAGGACGCCGCCGCAGCTCAGCCACAGCCCGTTCTTCAGCACGGCCAGGGCAGGGGGTTTGGTGGTCTCATCTCGGGACGGAAGCACAGGTACAGCTCTGGGTAATGCCGCGCAATGCCATGAGCCACCTGCTCAGCTGTGAGCACGACGAGGCCCTTCGTGGGGCCGTGGGAGCTGCCGTTGCACCCGGTAAAACCACGGGGCACGCAGAGCCCGGCCGCGGCGCTCACCGGCACCCAGCGCGCTGTCAACGCTTCCGCCTACGGAGGATCCTCGAGTCTTGCAGTGGGGGGGGTTCCAGCCCGGATCGCAGTGGCAGTTCTTCTTGTTGTTGCACACCTGCCAACACCAGGGCGGGCAGAGGCATCCCGCACTGTAAGCCCCCGCTGAGGACCAGTGCTCCATCTCCTCCGGGACTGCGGCTTTGCCCCCCGCCCCGGCTCTCCCCGGCGCCACGGCACCCCCTGCGACCACAGCCCCACGCACACCCCACGGCCGTCCCCAGTGCTCCCCCTCTGCCGGTCCCCACAGCCTCTCGCCTAGCACCGCTACACTGATCGTTTCCAACACTATTTCAGTTATGTGCGGTTAAATCCTCCCTAGATAATCTTTTCCAGTTTTCTACTAATCTAGACAGACACTCCGAGCCCCTTCATCTCACTTATTTTTCGCCTGGGACGGAACATCAGTTAGGTACTCTCACTTAATTTCTCCCACAATAACTTGTTACTGTGTGATGATTTGGGAGAACGGGTCTGGGCAACTCACAGACGAGCCCCAGTGGGCATTTCACCAGAACCGCTCGCTCCTCTTCAGCAATATTCATACCAATGACTCTAACTCAGCTGCACCGCTCTTACTTACTCCGTGCCCGTGGCATTTTTTCTGCATGTCGCAGTCATACTTCAGGACCGAAAGTGGGTGGCACGTGCCATTCAAACAAACCTGAAAGACCAAAAGGAAAAAAATCCCCCTGGGCTTTTTCCATCACCCTTTACCACACTTGCTGTAACTCTAAAAAGGATTCCTCACCCTAAAGAACAACCAAAAGGCAAAAGCACAGGTAATAATTATTAACAACATAAGTATAGACCATCTTTAACTCATACTGCAGAACAGCAACTATTTCTGGAACTGCTGCGGTTGTGATAATTCTATGCCCTTTGCAGCTGCCCACGCAGTATTTCTCACCTTTCCGGGACCGCACTTTGTGCCTTCTTTCACCAGGAGAGGATCCGGCGCTGTGGGTCCCAGCATAAAATCGAAAGACACGCAGAGATGTTCTTGCACTTGGGCATAAATTACGGCACCCTTGACTTTTGTGAAGGGAATACGGTTCGGGAATACACACACTAACTTTCCACATTCCAGATTCCTGAAACATTCATTAGCACAATAAATGAGAACAGTACAGACAGCGACTGATTGATAGCGCCGGAGACGCTGAGGGGCACAACTTGGGGAGGGGGATTTAGATGAAATGAAAACACAAGCCCGTGACATTTCAGAAAAGTTCGGTCCTTGACACCAGGGGAGAGGCTGTCCTACGGACCTGCAGAACACCGAGCGCTCGCACCGCACCGCGAGGTGAGTGCGGAAGTCACCTTTGGAAGGCTCCAGTTTCTCCACAACACTCTTTCTCTGAGGAACTCCTCGAGCGAATACTGCACCTCAGTTCCGCCCAACAAAAGAAAACATACCGAAGGCAACCTTCTAACGGGTTATTGCTTTGCATCGACAGCAAAGAGAAGCCCAAATCAAACATATATTCCCAACTCAACACTTTGCGTTCCCGTGAAACCTACAGCCAGGAACAGGGCCGGTAGCCGTCCCTTGGGTGGGTGCCGCAGTGCCCAAACCTGTCCTGCTGGCTGTTGACTTCTTCGTAACAGGCCAAAGGAGCATTTTTTGCACCTGGAAGTTTAGAAATAACACTGGTTAGCACTGAGGGTAATACAGACCAAGATACCTCTGCTGCCCCTAACACTTAGTTCTTGCCTCTGACAGGAATACTCGGCTGCTGCTCCAGCCCCATCGCTAGCCACCTCCGTTCAGGTTGTGGGACAGACCTCACAGACAGCCTGCCCAGTCCAAAACACCTCCCACAACAGCACCAGGGCACGTTTCTGGCTCATTCTCCCCCCCGAGGAGGCAGGGGGGTGCATGACTGCTCTGCCAGCCTGAGATCCCCGCGGCAACCGTCACCCTCTTCTGGTGGCCCATTCCCTTCCCCTCTCCCCAGGCGTGGGACATCCGTCCTGTGGTCTCTCCTGCCCTTCCACACACCGCATACTCCCGGCACTCTCCAGTTTCCCCAGTTTCACGTAAGAGAGAGGGTGGGCATCCTTCGTGCTCGGATGCTGCCTCCTGCCCTAGAGCAGCCCTGGAGCTCGACGCCAGCGCTGCGTTACCTCTCCCGTAGAGCTGCCGGCACTGCAGGTCCGGAGACTGGCAGCGTCCTTGGTAGGAGTAGCCGGTGCCGCGCTCGCAGCCGTGCCCGTCCTGCACGTGCAGGTCGGGGGGACAGGACGCGGAGGACCCGTTGCAGAACTCGGGCAGGTCGCACTGTGCGTCGGCGGCGGGACGGCACTGTGAGTTCTTCTTCTTGAACTGGCAGAGGAGGCAGAAGGGACTCTCCTCGCCACAGCCTTCCGCACCGCGGCGTGGTGCCCCCTCCGGCCCCCGAGACACATCCCCGGTCCCTCAGGACCAGCCCTGAGGCGCTCGGCTCATCCCGCGCACGACACAGTGCCCGCGACACTCCTCCTCCCGTGACATTCCTCCCGGGGGTTCAGGCAGCCGAGCGGGAAAGCCCTTCCCCGGGAACCTCTCCACAGTGGAAAGTTTGTCTCCATCCTTCAGCACGGGAACATACTATTTCTCAAAAGTTAAGTAACTATCTTGTGATCATTATAAAAACGTGCCTTATCTGACATTACAACATAACGCAGAGGAGATAAAACGCAGCACAAACACCGTTTTGTGTTTTGGAGGTGCCCGTCCCAGCAGATCCAGCAGCTGTCCGACCGTGCTGCCCTAGAAACTATTTCTGCTCCAAGGTTTAAAAACGGCCTTGACTTGTGGTAATGGCGCACCCCCCTCACCTGGCAGTTTTCACAGCACAATCCCACGGAGCACTTCACTCCCGGTTTGAAGGTGCACTGAGGAGCGCAGCACGTGTCTGACGCACAGGCCTGCGAACGCACCGGCATTTGCCGCAAACCTCCCGGTCCGCAGCAGCGCCGCTCCCCCCGAGCCCCGTCCTCCCCACGGGGAGCGCGCCGCGGCGGGGCCTGGGGAGAGCAGCACCGCTGCGTTTCTGCGTGGGACCACGGCAATGCTTTATACGCCACCTGAGACCGCTCTCAGGGCCAGAAGAAAGCACAGCCCTCCGGCGGAGCGCGGCACCCACCTCCGGCGCGCCGCAGTCGCACTGCTCGCCGGGCTCCACCGCGCCGTTGCCGCAGACGGCCCCGCGGTAGGAAGGCTGACGCAGAGCGTGTCGGATGAAAGGGCAGTCCCTGTTCTGCTTCAGGAAGGTTTCGAAGTCCCTGATGCTGCAGCTGCTAAAGGCTTTTGTCCCGCCGAAACCTCTGAAATAAAGCAATTATCCCTTTATGTGTTAACACATCGACCCGCTTCACTCTCTCCACAGCTCTGTGCGACCGAGGGACTCGAGCAGCGCTGGCACGCGGTGTGGCGTCCCCCGGGTGTCCTTCAGTCCGGTTGCCAAAACAGCCTTTGCACTGCGCTGTTCACAGAGACTGAGCGGCAATCAGCAGTATCTTGCTTTTGAAAAGAAAACCGCTCATTTCTCAAGTCAAATCACTACTTTATCATTCCTATAGTAAGAACAATGTTTTTTTTCTCCCAATGTTTCAAGTTCCTTTTAGGATATCACTCTCGATGTGCTATTTTAATGTATGTCAACATGCAATCATTTTGTAAGACTTGATTCAAATCATGGATGACCAATAACACAGGCAGAAGTGCTGGAAGAGCGCACTTTCCTGTTCAAAGCAAATGCAACTACTACTTCTCAAAAATATTCACTAACACAAACGTTGCAATGTTTATGGCTGAGATGATATAATGGAAGGCCAAAATATCTCAGGATTTCTAGTAATTAAAACACATTTTTATTTTAACTCCTATTTTCTCATTGCCTATTCTTTTCCCCGTACTAACAAAATCAAATCCGAACTGAAATTCAGACTGATTCATCTCTTAATGTTGGTGTCTACACTTATATACCGTTACATATTTACATATACCTATTCACACGCGCACACACATATATAAATACAGCTCCTCGGGCTCGGGAGGGAACTTTTCCCCCCGTAGGCACTCGGCTGCACTGACCGCTTACCCCGACGCTCCCAAAGACCAAAAGCGTTTGAGGTCCACAACTCCCGTGCGGTCGGTTTGCAGGCAACGCTTGTGCACAAAGCTAACTTTTATCGCATTTCGGGAACTAGAAATTATTTCAGATTGCCGGACGTGCCATTTCTGAATGCTAACACTCAAAAAAAGAACGGCTCTTGCCTAGTCCCAGCAAGACGCGCCCAAGACACCTCTGATGAGAGGACACCCTGCCCACCCACCGCATCTGCCCCGGCCCCCGCAGCGCCCGCAGCGCGCCGGACCGGGACCGACCCACTCACAGCGCCTCCGGGCTCATGAGGCAGACGGTCCCGGGGTCATTCTGATGCTTTATATACTCTCCAATCCTTTTTCAACAAATTATTCTAAAAAAGAAATTAATCCTGGGAACTGAATGCAAATACTGTTCTTAACTGGTAATAACACTTCCACACTTGGAATATCATGAACCGTTATGTTGATGAAGTACATGTTGGAATCTGTCTTATTGTAGCACAGCAGCTGTAGATCTGCAATTGATAATGAGAGTTAAAAAAATATTAAAACCCATTTTACTCTCGCTGCCCTGAAAAATGCAAAAAAGAACAACAGCGGCAATATTTATCTGAATTGTGTTGGACATTATATCTTTTCTTGGAAATATTACCCTTTGGCGCGTGCCTCACTGCCTTCTCACTTAATTTTTACAAGAGGCATTCATAGCAAATTCTGTTTTTCAAAAGTCCACACTCAGCAGGTTGTTACTCTCCGCTCCTCAATACCGACACTAATTTGTTCTTACAGGAGCAGATACGGCACTTCGTGGGGCTGCAGAGCGGGGCTGGACCGCTTCCACGCCAACAGCTGCGCCAGCGCTTCCCCTCCATCCCCCGTTGTCTGAACTGTGCCGTTGTCCATCCACACCTCCACGGCGGACAGCGTGACTCTGAGATCAAGGGACCGGAACAGCTGAAAGTTTAACGAGAGAAGTGGCTGTTCCCGTACGTTTCATTTCAAGTGCTGTTTAACCATTTGCTCTCGTTCGCAGCCACGCTGCTTCGGGAAGACACACAGGAGCCGTTGGCAACTGATGACTGCTTTGTATGTGTGTCATGAAAAAGGCGTGGGAAATAGAAAAACAATAGTCCAAAAGAGCAAAAAAATAATTAGTTCGGTAAGCAGGATCTAATAAACCCAAAGACAACCTGAGCTTGAGCGGAGATAATAAATAATGAAACACACAGAATGCACAAACTTCTCCTTGTCTGCATTTTTTAGGTTTCCAGGAGGAGACACGACATTCCCTGTCGTTTCGAGTCAAGCGCTCACCCAGCGGTGTACGCTGTGTACTCTGTCTCCTCAGACAGAGAGACGGACAGGAGCGGCGGCGGCCGCGGGCACCGCCTCAGCGCAGCACGGCCCCTCGGCGCAGCGCGTCCCGCGGGAGAGCGTGTCACCGCAGGGACGGCGGGCACCGGCCCCGCTGCGCTCCAGCAGCACTGACGTAGAGCCCGTGTGCGTGTTGGCCAGCGAGGGGTAAAATCCCCTCCACACCTCCCGCCCCAGTCTGGACAAGTCCCACACAAACCTGGAGCTCTGACAGACTCAGCCAAAAAGTCAAAAGCTAAAAAGCTGAGATTCAGTATCTCCGGAACGCACAGTTAATTATTATTTTCTCCAAAATTAGGCAAATCGTACCGATACCCATCCGTTAGTAGGCTGAAATAAGCCATCAGAATTTCTGTCTCAGTACATACAAATCAAGAAAAACTCACGCTGTTGACCAAGCCGGAGACCTGAACGATCTTCTGCGTCACAACGTACTCATCTCCTCCCAGGTAGTCGAACTGAAAAACGTCATGAGATTCCATCTAGGTTATTTGCCGCGCTGAAGCACAGGGGGTTTTCACGATCCTTCGCAGAGTGGCTTTTAGCCGTGGCCACAAGGCACAGAGCGCACCGCGCCAGGCAGGACCGCGGCGAAGCTTTATTGCAAAGGCAAAGAAACCCAACACAGAACAGGAACTGACTGACACACACTTACCAAAGCCCTCTCCAAAACCACGTAGAGTGCCATCTCTTGCTGGTATTTGGACACTGACTGGAAAAAAAATGTTCTTCACAGTTAATAATTCATTTCACTAATTCAGTCATGAGGCGTAACAAATGCTGCCTTGTCCCAGACACTGAACCTTCCACGAGGCACCGCCATCTGCTGATTTTGTTTTCAGAGCAGAAAGCAAAAGCCGCGTATTAACACTTAGGCCAACGCTGAAGTCTTTCACTAATACCGTTGGCTCTCGGCTCAGAGGAACACTGGAGCTTTGGGACACTCATGGGGACCCCGTGGCCGAAGCGGACAGCACATCGCTGCCAACCGTCTGCAAACTGGAGGGAGAAATGCCCCGGCTCCTGCAAACCCATCAATAAATCTTGCAGCCCTCGGTGACACCTCTCATTAGGCACAAGATGAGTAACGATACACACGACACCCCATCACACACGCTGGCACTCCCGGACACCTCCTGGGGGATCAGACCCCTCCTCATGTGACGGGGACATCAGTGCCACCGTGACGACACGCGCCCACTCACTTCATCCCCTCCGTGCGCTTTGCGCGACATCTCCTCCGCTGTCAGCCCGCCGAGGCCCCGCTCGGGGTGGCCGGTGGCCAAGAGGGAACCTGCCGTCTTCTCCTCACTCACTCGATACACAAAGTGCTCGAACGCAGGAGAATAATCCAGGGGCTCGATCCCGTAGCTGACGTTCACAAACTGCAGCAAGCCCCTGCCACAGGGACGGCGCGTCGTTTGTCACCAGATGTTGTGGGGAAGCTGCCGCAGCCCCCGGCGCCACGGAGCGCGGTGGCCAGAGCATCCCTGGGCTCCCCCGTGGCACCGACAGGCACGGCAGCGCCGGGAGGCGGCAGTGCGTTACCTGAGCCCCGAGCAGGTGCTGAGGGTCACTGCCGAGCTGGGGAAGCCCTCGACGTACCCCCGGTAGTGGCAGCCGCCCTACAGCCCGACAGAGCACAAGGAGCCCCTTCCGTGACCACGAAAGCAATTCCCGCACCCGTCCCCCAACCCGCCCGACTGCGCACAGGGGACAGCAGCTCTACGCTGCATCGCTGACGGTACAAAATACCCCAAAACAATCCACGGTTACCTTGAAACGGGTTGAGTCAGAGCGTGAAGATCCCTTCTCATTAGACACGTAAATCCTGAAATCATCAGATAAAAAAACACTACAAAAGAAAGAGGTAAAGTGAAGCATTTAAAATAGTCCTGTCTTACCCAGTTTCCCGAGTTTATTCCGGTCCTGCAGCCCGCGCCGTTGTGTTGCTCTGACAGATGGGGAACCCATTGGCTCACGGGTGCAAACGTCCCCCAAACCCTCCTTGCAGAGCCGGGCACGTGGCACACGCACACGTTACTGCGGCTTTGGGACGTGTCGGCATCAGGGTGCCGTCCGGGTGGCTCCGGGGGCTGGGAGAGCCCGAGGGAGCCGTGGCGGTGTGAAGGGCGGCGGGAGGGGATGGCCCCACACCGTCCCGCTCCGGGAGCAGAGTCACAGCCGGGGAACAGGACAGCAGCGGTCAGACGGGGTGACGCCAGGGCCAACTTACTGCTGCTGCAGGTGGATGGTGTACGGCCTCCCCTCGATCCCGAGGACGTAGGACACCACGTCCTTGCGCGTGCGGGAAAGCAGAGAAAGGGAGAATTAGGAACGATGACTCCGTTAAAGCTCCGAGGGCGAGCACGAGAGCTCAGCGCTCCCTCGAGGCATGGGCACAGCCTTTGCGGCGCTGGCAGCACCGGGATGGTGCCTCCATTACGGCTGCCAGCACATCTGTCCCCC